GGGAGGGAGAAGGAAGGAAGAGGGGAGGGAGAGGGAGGGAGGGGAGAGGGAGAAAAGAGGAGGAGAAGGAGGAAAGAAAGCAGGCAGGAGGGAAGGATAAAGGAAGGAAGGAAAGAAGAGAAAACCTGAAACAAATGATAATCTCAGTGAATTCAGACCTTAGTACATTTTAAAAAGAGATCAAAAGACTAAAAATAAGATGAAAGCAGAGCTGCAATCATTCAAAGAGATTATGAGACAACTAGAAGAAATGGCAGATAACAGAAAAGAAATGCTTAAAAAAATTATATCAGAAGTAGAGGTCAGTTAAAAAAATAATAAAGGATAAAAAGATGGGGTTGCAAAAAACAAGTGTAAGAGTAGGAAAAAATGGTTTAAAAGGAGTCATGAAATAAAATAACTAAATAAATAGTTGTCTGGCAAGATAGCTCAGCTAAGTGCCTGCTTAGGCAAGTGCAAGGACCAGGGTTCGATCCCTGGCAACACATGTTGTGCCAGCCCTGCCCCCAGGCACACAGAACTGGAGACAGGACATGGTGGCACACGTCTGTAATCCCAGCGCTAGGGAGACTGACACAGGAGAATTGCTACAAGTCTGAGCTGCTTAGAGATAGATCCTGTACCAAATACATAAAATATGTTTGTAAAAAGAAATAACTAACAAGTGATAGAGAAGACTGTAAATAAATGGACTCTAATTTTTATGGATCTAAGTTTGATCATTTTGATTGATACTGAATTGTTTGAGAGAGGTCTATGTAACTCAGGCTGGTCTCAAATCACCCAAGTGATTTTTGTTTTTAAAACAAGGTTTTGCTGTGTAGTCCAGGCTGGCCTACTAGCTATGTAGTCTGTACCAGTTTTGGATTTGTAGTCTTCTTTCTTTGGCTTCCTGAGTGCTGGGATTACAGATATGTACCATTATGACCAACCATACCTTTAAATTTTAAAACATCTTTCAAAACTGATAACTAAGAAACAAGTATAAACATATTTAAAGATATAAAAGAACCTAATAATAATAATTAAGGGGGCCAGGGAGATAGCTCAGTAGAGTAAGTGCTTGCCTGGCAAGCGCAGGCTCCTGAGTTCAATCCTCAGTACCACAAAAAAAAAAAAAAAAAAAAAAAAAAGGAAAACTCACTGGTAGGGCCGGTGAGATAGCTCAGTGGTTTAAAGTGCCTGCTTATGCAAGCTTAGGCAAGCTTAGGCAGGCTCAGGGACCATGGTTTGATCCCGGCACCACATCCCATGCCAGCACCGCCCTCACAGTGGGCTGAGCTGGCCACAAAAAAAAGCAAGCAAGCTAGCTCACTGGGAACCAGATTTGCAATAGAGTAGAAATTGGTGAAAAGAGAAAAGAAAAAAATACAGAGGCCCCTAAATTTATAGCACCCAAATCAGTATAAGAATTACTAAGGTGCAGGGACTGAGGTTCAATCCCCAGCGTGCCTGCCAGCCCTAGCCGGGTACATGCTGAGACATCCATTGAGACTGGGTATGGTAGCCGCACCTGTAATCCCAGCACTTTGGAGGCTGAAAACAGGAGGATCACTATGAGTCTGATCTGTGTAGTGAGACTCTGTAGACCCTGTACTCAACACACAAAGAAAAAAGAATTACTAAGGACTGAGTTAATTATACACATAGTCAAACTAGCACTCTGAATCAATTATCCCAGCTCATACAACACCAAAGATAAGCCAGATCTCCATCCCAAGACTAACCATACGTGTTAAAATAGGTTGGCAAAATGAAGGTAGTAACAAAGTCATTAGAGAAACTGGAGCAAGCTTCATGGACCTAGTACTTAAAAAACAAGAACAAAAACAGAAAATGGAGTGTCCAGCACTGGCGACTGAACCCAGAGACTCGGCATTGAACCACATCTCCAGACCTTCTAAAAAATATTTTGACAAAGGGTTTTGCTAAATCATTAAATTGCCCAGGCTGGATTCAAATTTTTGATTCTACTTCCTCTGCCCCGCAGAGTGCTGAGATTACAGGTGAGCACTACCACACTGGGATCTCTAGGGACTTTTAATCTAAACTTTCTTCTTATCTAAAACTGCTTCCTCTTCACTGTGATTCCAGCCGACCTCCTGGAATAAAGTGTGTGTGGTGAAATTCTGAAATCGCAAAATTATTTACTCTATTGAAAATATGAATTTTTGTTTTCCTTTGTTTTGTTTTGTTTTGTTTTGTTTTTAAGTGTCTTGCTATGTTGTCTGGGCTGGTCCTGAACTATGTAACCTAGCTCTGCCTTGAACTCTTAGCAGTCTTCTTGCCTCGGCCTCCTGAGTTCTGGGAATACAGGTGTGTGCCACCATGTCGAGCCTTGAAAATCTTATTGTTGCTCACAAGTAACCTAAATTAAATTTTTCTATTTATCAGGAGGCTGAGACAGGAACATCACTGGGAGTTCAGGCCCAGCTGAGAGGCTACATAGTGAGCTCAAGGCCAGCCTGAACTATATAATGAGACTTAAAAAACAATGCAAAGTAACAATCGTTTGCACAGTTATGTGGGGAAAGTAGAACCCTTACAAGTCACTGGTGAAAGAGTAAAATGCTGCAGCTGCCATGGAAATAGTATAGTGGTTCCTCAAATTTTTTAATATAAAATTACTCCATGATCCAGCAATTCCATTTCTAGGTATATACCAAACTCCTGAAAACAGACTCAGATAGCTAGCTATACACGAACATTCATAGCAGTATTATCCACAATCACCAAAAGGTAGAAAACAACCAAAATGTCCATGACAAAGGAAAAAGGGGAAATACTTACCGTGTTTTTGATTTTGCAACAATCCGTCACCTTTTGACATCTTGAAATCTTAATCTACGAAGTTCAGAAAAATGAAAAAAATATATATGACTATTACTCAGCCTTACGGAGTATAAAGAGTATAGAAGGGGCTAGGGAGATAGCTCAGTAGAATAAGTGCTTGCCTGTCAAGTGCAAGGTCCTGAGTTCAATCCCCAGCACCGCAAACAAAACAAAAAAAAAAAACCAACCAAAAAATTCTGAAACATGAAGTAAGTCAATCACAAAAGGGTTAATTTTTGCACATTGGTTACATCCAACAAGTTAACATCTCTAGACCGCAATAAAGTGTCATATAAACTCAAGAATGGCTTTCTTTTTTTGCCCCACCCCAAAAATGGCTTTTAAAATGATGTTGTTGGGGGCCCAGGGCTAGCTCAGTTCTTTAAGTGGCAGCTTCCACAATGCTGGCAGCCTCAGTTTGCTGTAGTTCGATCCCCACAACACTCCAGCCATGCAAAAGTGCCCTGAAGGCATTCAAGGAGCAAAACACACACACAAAAAAAAAATTCCTTAGGGGGGCGGGGAAATGGCTCAGTAGAATAAGTGCTTCCCTGGCAAGTGCAAGGGCCTGAGTTCAATTCCTGGTTCCTGCCAAAAAAGAAGGAAAAAAAAAGGAGAAAAATGGAGCCGAGGAGATGGCTCAATGGAATAAGCGCTTCCCTGGCAAGCTCAAGGGCCTGAGTTCAATCTCCAGTTCTACCAAAAAAAAAAAAAAAAAAGAATTATGCTTGGTTTTTGGGGCTGGTGAGATGGCTCAGTGGTCTAAAGCGCCTATTTGGAACAAGCTCAGCAAAGCACAGGGACCGCGGTTCAATCCCCCAGCACCACATGCCAGCCAGCCCCGCCCCCTGGTGGGCTGAGCTGGCCACAAACACACAAATAAATAAATAAAAATTAAAAAAAATAAAAATAAAAAAAAATAAATAAAATGATGTTGTTGGGGCCGGGGAGATGGCTCAGTGGAATAAGCACTTCCCTGACAAGCGCAAGGGCCTGCCTAAAAATACCGGGTTCTGCCTAAAAAAAAAAAAAAATGTTGTTGTTATTGTTGTTCTTTTATTTATTTTTGGCAGAACCAGGGATTGAACTCAGGCCCTTGCGCTTGCCAGGCAAGTGTTTAATCTACTGAGCCATCTCCCTGGTCCCATTATTTTATTTTATTATTTATTATTTATTTTTTATTGTTGTTCTTTTGAAACAGGGTCTCACTATGTAATTCAGGCTGGCCTTGAGCTTACCGTGTCGTCCAGGCTGGCCTCAGACTTGTGAGGATCCTCTTATCTCAGCCTCCATGGTTTTTTTTTTGAGGCAAGTCTTGCTATGTAGTCCAGGCTGGCCTTGTATCCATTATATAACTAGGCTAGTCTTAAACTTGCAACAATCCTCCTGCCTCAGCCTCTCAAGTGCCAGAATTACAGGCATGTACCACCATGCCCAGCAAAATTTTTATTTATGTATTTTTGCTTCTGGGGATTGAACACAGGACTCTGTGTGCACTAAGCCTATGACCCACCACTAAGCGACACCCCAAATGCCCATGATTTTTTTCTTAAAAAGATCATGCATATAACTGATGCATTCAGGTATAGTAATACCTTGGTTCATAACTGCTTCTGTGTGCAACAATTCAGTTTTCAAACAAAAGTGTTCAACAAAATTTTGCTTTTATTCACAAATTCTACATCAGGCGACAAACACAACTGTGGCCATCTCCCACACACAAACACAATCAGGGCTATCCTGCCCCATGGCTATCCTATTTTAAAAACCTAAGTGCACATTCTGTCACCAGCTATTTCAGAGCCACTCTTGTGTGACTGTCACGATTCCTGGGCTCTGAAAGATTAAATGACTACCTTAAAGCTATACCATAAAATAATTTATGGCAACTATATCTGTAATATCCTTCTGTCAGAAATAACCTAGGTTCTCCAACAGCTAAATGGCTAAATAAACTGGAATATCCATACCATGGATAACTATTCAGCAATAAAAAAGAATAGACTAGGGCCAGCAAGATAGCTCAGCGGACTAAGCACCTACTTAGGTAAGCGCAGGGACCAGGGTTTGATCCCCCAGTATCCCATGCTGCGATGCACCCCACCCCCCACCATGCCCACTGAGCCAGAGGTCAAGCCTGGGCACGGTGGTGCACGCCTGTAATCCCAGCCCTCGGGGGGCTGAAAACAGGAGGATCACTAGGAGTCTGAGCTGCACAGTGAAACCTTGTACCAAATACATACAAAAAAGAAAGACTATTAATATGCAACAGCCTAGATCAATCTCCAATTATTCTGAGTTTTAAAAAGCCAATCAAAAACTGTTTGAAGGGGCCTGCCTTAGCTCAGTCTTAAAGTGGCTGCTTCAACAAAGCAGTCAGCCTCAGGTTGCTGTGGTTTGATCCCCACAACTCAAGCCAGCCAAACCTGCCCTGAAGGCATTTGGAGAAAAAAACAAAACAAAACAAAAAAAAAAAAAAAAAAACCTGTTTGCTTGACATACTGTATGAATTGAGACAGTGTCTTGATATATAGTTCAGGCTGACTTTGAACTCACTACATAGGCCAGGCTGGCCTCCAACTCACGGCGATTCTCCCGCCTCAGCCTTGTAAGAGCTGAGTTTGCAGCTGTGTGCCACCATGCTTGGCCTTATACAATATTTTGGGATTTAAAAAAAAGTTTTGTTTATATGATACAGTCTCACTACATAGCTCGGACTTGTAGTGATCCTGTCTGAGCCTCCCCAACACTGGGATTACAGGCGTGTGCCACCTATCTGGTTCCTGTGGCTGGCATGGCAAGCTCAGGGTTGCTGGGCCTGCACAGCATGTGGTGCCAGGGATTGAACCCCGGGCCGTGTGCATGCTAGGCAGGTGCACAGATCACTGAGCTATCTCCTCAGCCCTACAATATTTTTGAATGACAAAAGTATACAGATAGAATATAGACTAGGAATTGTCTGTGTTAGCAAAGAGGATGGAAAGAAAAATGGGTGCAATTACAAAGAAATGTCAGTGCTGTCTGGTGATCAGTTCCAGATACTGATTGACTGTGGTAATAGAATCTACAGGTGATGAAATTGCATAGACCTGCACACACATATGCATACAAACAAGTACATATAAAAATAGAAAATTAACCAAGTACAGTGGCACATGCTTGTAATCCCAGAACTTTGGGAGGCTGACATTGGAAGCTCAAAAGTTCAAGTACCACCTGGACAAATTAGCAAGGCCCTGTCACAACAGCTATCTTCCCCTAAATCATAAAAAAAAAAAAAATTTAAAGTTCATGAACTAAGGTACCACTGTACATGTGCTCTCTTCACAACTATTTCCCCCCAAAAAAAAACTTAGTGCATATTCTGTCATTAGATATTTCAAAGTCATTCTTGTGTGACTCTTACTATTCCTAGGCTCTGAAAGATTAAATGACTAATATTATAAATGACACTGAAAGTGTAGCCTAGGCTGGCCTCGAACTTGTGGTGTTTCTCCCACCTCAGCCTTGTGAGTTTTAGAATTACAGGGCTGCACCACCCTACCTAGCCTCTGTCACAAAATTTTTAAATAGTTAAAAGAGGCTGAAATGTAGCTTAGTGGCACAGCACCAATAGGTTTGATCCCCAGTACCATCAAATAAATAAATAAACAAAGCAAACCAGCCTGGAAAACCATAAGAATAAAGTCTATGAATTAAACCTATGTCTATTTCCCACTGTCTCAGTTACTTTTCTCTCACTCCTGGGATAAAATACCCAGCATCCAGAACTAAGGAACGCAAGGTCTGTGGAAGCTTCAGTCCATACTTGGCTGGTTCAAAAGGCAGAGTGGCACATGGCAGAGGGCAGCAGTTCATGGTGGCAGAAAACAGCAAAACAGAAAGAGCAAAAAGGGAAGAACAGCAGCAGCAGCAAGCCTCTCTCTGTACCAGGGTAGATGTAGCACTCACACCCATAAGCTTGCCTTGGATCACGAATTAATCACAAACTCTGGAAGTGTACTCCATGACTGCATGAGGCTTTAGGGGGACAACTAGGCACAAATCATAATGCCCACTTTTGATATAGTACTACAGTTATGCAAGATGTTATAACTGGGGAAAATTGGGTGAAGAGTAGGAATGACTTCTCTGTACTATTTTCTCAACTTTCTATCAATATATAACTAATTCCAAGTAAAGCTTTTAAAAGTATCAAGGATTCTTTTCCACAGCCTCCAGCACCAGCATACCATCAAAGACACTAAATTAAAAAAAAAAAAAACTTTTGAAAGAGTCTGAGAATCATGTTGAGGTCCCCCTTCTCAGAGATGGTCTATGAGCCACACTTGTCCTCTTTCCTTTAATCGCTACTTTGGGTTCACTGGGAGACAGATCTTGTGCTGGAAGCTAAATGATATAAGATGAATGATTTCTGATCCCTTCTCAAAGTGATCTCCCTCATAAAAAGTCTATTACGAAAGCATTGGAATAAGCGTCAAAAGATTTCTGCCCTCATTAAAAAAACTTACTATAGTTTTTTTAATCTTTTTTTTTAAATATTTATTTATTTTTATTTATTACATTTATTTATTGTGTGTGTGGCCAGCTCAGCCCACCAGGGGGCGGGGCTGGCTGGCATGTGGTGCTGGAGGATTGAACCGTGGTCCCTGAGCTTTGCCAAGCTTGTTCTAAGTAGGTGCTTTAGACCACTGAGCCATCTCTCCAGCCCCAACTTACTATAGTTTTGATGTTGGACCAATTCTTCAAATTTTGGCATGCTAACTTCTTAATCTGCAAAATTCAGAAGAGTGGAATATATATGTATATTTAAAATTTAATTTGGGGGCTCTACGTGGATTTAAGGATATACATAAATCATCTGAAATTGTACACCAAACAACTGCATTTCTTTTCTGGAAAAAAATATTTTTTTTTCTTAGATTCTGAGAACTTGCTAATCCATAGAGTGTTTAGAACTGAATTAGATTTTCTTTCCATTTTGAATGCCCTTCCATTCTGACATTCCATAATTTTAATAGAGCTCTGAGATCGTTCCCTCCATCTCTATATTCTATGATTCCAATAAGGATGGAAGAAATGGACCAGAGATCCAACATTCTATGATTGAAAGTACTGTAAGACTCCATTCCTTTTCCCAAGAAGCCAAGGATCAACTTTTAAACACAGACCTCTGTGACGACTTACTCTCCCACCAGCCTTTCAGTCTCATCTCTCACCTCTTCTGTAGATCCCACCCATTCCTCATCTAGTCTGCAGTTCACACAAAATTTTCCTCCCATTTATTGTATGCCTTTGCACAGGCAATGATAGTCTCCTTCCTCATGAAATGGTTCACAAGGCTGGCCAAATAGCTCAGTGGATTAAAGCACCTACAAGCCCACACAGGGGCCTGCAAGCCCACATGCACAGGGGCCGGGGTTTCAGTCTCTGGGCCTACCGGGCCAGCTGCCCCCCTCCCCAGAGCACGTTGAGATTGTAATTGAGACGGTGTGGTGGCAAGTGCCTGTAATACCAGCACTTGGGAGGCTGAAATCAGGAGAATCACTACGAGTCCAACCTAGTAGTGAGCCCCTGAACACCCTGCAGACCCTTCCCTAAAATACAGATGAAACGGTTCACAACACCTCACTCTTGCAGTAGAGTGTGGTGTGTTGCCTTGGTGGCAGGAAACTGCTACTACAGAGAGAATGGGACTACTGGTTCACTTAGGTAACAAACTCAGTTGTGAAGAGGCTGGGCAGAAGGTCTGAAGCCTGCAAGTATAATCAATACTATGAAAAAGTAAACAAACACTAGGACCCTCTTGTCCTGAGTCTGAAAAGCAAACAAAATATTACCTCTAAGGAAAACAACTTGAGAGCAAAAGTTAATAGTGTTGTTTCAGTGGACGACGGGAAGAGGCAGGGGCAGAGGACAAGTGGGGCAGGGTATCTGGTCTAAAGGAAGTCTCAGCCGCAGCTGACTACTAGCTAGCAGGAATGTTGAGTTCAGACTGTAGCTCTTCCAGTTTTAAAAAAAAAAAAAATGCATGCAAAAATCTCCCAAGTTTTACAGGTCAGCAAGTAAACATTAAAGATTCACTCTGATGACTTTCAACATTTTAGAAACTACTTCATGAGGATCTGCATTGATTTATTTGGGGCAGATATTTTACAAGAGGGTAAGCTGGGGTTTTTTGGTTTGGTTGTTGTTTTTTAAAATCAGGGCACCTGGTATGTTGATGGTTATCAATCAGGTCCATTCATCTGGCACAAAGCGCAAAGGAACTTCAATGGTTATACAAAACCTTTCCTTTGGGGCCTCTGTCTGTCTCTCTGAGCTCAATTTCTGAAATGAGACACAAAATTTGTGAAATGAGATGCAATCATTTCTGAGAGACAAAAACTGTGTGTCTATTATATGAAAAGAGAGTAAAATACTATTTACCAAAGGGCTGTCAGAGCTACACTTGCATCATCTCTTCAAAGTCTCAGACTAACCTCTATGACGTAAGTTCTGTTATATCCAGGTTTCTTTTTTTTTTTTTTAACTTAACATTCTTAATTTATTTATTTCTTTTGGTGGTACCAGGGATCAAACTCAGGACCTTGTGCTTGCCAGGCAAGCACTTATTCCACTGAGCTATCGCCCCAGTACCCCATATACCCAGGTTTCTAATTTAACAGATAAAAAAACTCCACCTCAAAGAAGATAATTTACTTAATAAAGACAGCAAACTTTTTTTTTTTTTTTTTTTTTTTAAAGACAAAGTCTCACTATGTAGTTCAGACTGGTCTCAAACTCCTGTCAGATCCTCCTGCCTCAGCCTCCTAAGCACTGGGATAACAGGAGTGGGCCACCATGATTGGTGTCAGCAAACATTTTACAAGCCTCTTCTTACTAAGAGCATCATTTAATTTCCTAACAGCTCTGAGGCAGGTACTATTATCACCAGAAACAGTAGGCCAGAACTATTCAACAAAAATACAAGCCACATACATAATTTAAATTTTCCTACTAGCTACCACACCTGATGGTGCTGGGGGGAGGGGAGTGTTGAGGTAGGAGGATTGCCATCTGGGCTACACAGCTCAAGGTAAGCCTGAACTACATAGCAAGACCTTGTCTCCAAAAGCAAAAACAAGGGCCGACCAGATAACTCAGAGGATTAAAGCTCCTGCTTGCACAGACGCAGGGACCAGGGTTTGATCCCCAGCATGCTGTGCTGGGCCCACCCCAGGGATGCACTGAGAGGTGACTGGTGGCACATGCCTGTAATCCCAGCGCTTGGGAGGCAGAAAACAGTAGGATCACTATGAATCCGATCTATGTAGTGAGACCCTGTAGGCCCCATACTAAATATTTTTTTAAAAAATAAACGAAAACATTTCTAATTACTGCATTTTAAGTCTTGTGAAATTAAATGTATTTGCCTCAGTACATATAAAATATCTTACTCTAACATAATCAACTTGAAAAGGTCAGCTAATTTACACTATTCCTTTTGCACTAAGACATGTTTGTTTTACTACAGTTCATTTCGCGATTCGGACTAGCTACGTTTCAAGGGACAAGCCATTTACAATCCATTTACTAACCCTAACTAACATAAAAAGTTACCCAACCAACTGCCTGTCCCTTGGCTTCAGAGGACACCCAAAAATTAAGAGCAAAGAGCCCTGAACATTTACTTTGTGTTTAGGCAGTGTGCTGAGGAGCTATACACGTATTTTGTCCTCCTCGAAACAGATGGGGGCCACTCCCTTCAATGTTTGACCAAGCAAATAACCAAGCAAAAATAACTTTTTGTTCTGAGAGAGAGCCTCACTGCGGTTCACGACCATCCTCCTGCCTCAGCCTTCTCAGTGCTGGGATTACAGGCTTGCGCCCTCACGCCCAGCTAAGAGGAATTTGTTAAACCGGGTTCTCTCCAGCCTCCGGCTGCTGTCCCAGGGCACTGGCCGGCCCCAACAAGTCCCTGGCTAGTCATGATCCTCCGCATTTATGGAAGGCCTGGCAGGATCACGGTAATGGCGCGCGCCGGCACAGACAGGCGCCGATCACCCGCGAAGAGAGTTCCGGGACTTGAAGTCTACGTGGTCAACCTCAGGTTCCTCCTTCAGTGCCTCCGCCAGCCTCGGCTCTAACTCAGACTCAGACTCTGCCCCGCCCTCTCACGGAGCTCAGGGTCTCAGTCTTTGAAGAGTCCCACCGAAAGCGGAAACCGACCCGCCTCGCCGCAGCGGGCGTCACCGCCTGACGCAACTGGCGACCGCTAGGAGGCGCCGCTTCCGGGAGCCGAGGTGCCGCTTCCGGGAAGTTGTGCGCCGACCTGACCATAGAGAAGCCAGAGGCGACTGCGACTTCCGGTCGCTCTGGGCGCTCCGCCTGTGAAGGTAAGTTAGGCGCGCCCTCGGTCGGTGCCGAGTCGCCTTTCGTAAGGGTTGCATTGGTTCTGTCCTTCAGTAGGAAACGTTTTTCTCCTTGCCCCGCTCCCGCGCAGACGCAGTAGTGAGCCCTTAGTTGCCGGACAAAGAGTGACGCCCAGAGCTGGTCATGGCGGCGACAGAAGCGAGCTTGTCGACCACCGGGAGCTCTGCGGCTGTACCGCCGGAGCAGCAGGACAGAGCCGGCGCGAAGTCAGATCTTGAAGCTAACTGTGCAGATCCCTCGACCCCAGAAGCCTCCCCGCCTGCCCCCGAGTCCTGCAACCCCAACGCCGAGATCCCCGAAGTGAAGATTACGCCCTCCGCCGCGGCTTCCGCGGTGCTGGAGCTGCCCCTCAGGCCCGCACCCCTGGGTTCTGCGCCGCAGGCCTCAGCCGCCTCGCGCTCCCCGGCGGGCCCCAGCGGCTCGCGGCCAGGCCCCGAGACGTTCCGCCAGCGATTCCGACAGTTCCGCTACCAGGACGCGGCCGGACCCCGAGAAGCGTTCCGGCAGCTGCGGGAGCTCTCTCGCCAGTGGCTGCGGCCAGACATCCGCACCAAGGAGCAGATGGTGGAGATGCTGGTACAGGAGCAGCTGCTGGCCATCCTGCCCGAAGAAACGCGGGCCCGGCGGCTCCAGCGCCGCGCAGACGTGCGCATCACCGGCTGAGCTGAACTCAACGCTCTTTGGACTGGGGCCATGATGGGTTGGGGCCAGAGGCTGGCACACCACCCCGTGTTAATGAAAGAGTTTTGACAGCCGCTGTGGTCTAATGTGTATTTTTCCTTTCTCCTTTCTTGGATTTATGTTGTTGAGCCTATTTCCCATCCCTGTTCTGCCTGGTCGGGGCCTTGCTAGACTGTTGTGATATTAAATGTTGGCTAGATCTGGGCCATCCCGTTGCCATACCTGTGAAGGTTTTCTCTGGGGCTCCCAAAGACCCACTTCGATTTTCTTTGATTAGTGGAAAGCTGTGTTCTGAAGATTACAGTCCAGTGAGTTTCTCTGCCTTTTACTAGCTACATTTTGAAGTTGTCATCTATTCAGGTAGGAAAACAGCAATACGAAGTAGTTGTGGGATCCTGCAAGCAAACTATCTGGGTTTCTTAAAGTGTTAACCTGTCAAGTTGTTTCATCTGCCCCTTGCGTGCACGCTTTCAAAGACCCAAATTATGTGGCCATTCTGATGCTTTACGGCTCGCTCTTACAGGTATTGTTTGTGGGCTCTAATATATGGCTGTAGACTTCCACCTCCTTCCTTGCCAAAGTTTAGACTTTGGGTAGGGATTAAATAAATGATGTGAATTAACAAGTAATGTAAATTTTTGAAAGTACTGATTTTTAATTGTCTCCCGCAGGCTCCCTCATGTTTATTCATTTAAATCTCCATAACTGCTAGAAAGGGAAGAAGGAATTTTTCAAGTAATATAGACTACCTATGAAATCTTAAAGGCTGCTCTCCCTGTGGCCCAGACCAATCTTGCTTACATTGTTTGCAATATTCAAAAACTAAGCAAAGTTCTCATTACTAACCATGAGCAAGACAGGGTTTCTTGGGATTCTCGGCAGAATTTGCATATGCCTCTGCAAAAAATACTTGAAAGGTAAAAGAAGGCTTTCTTTAAAAGGTAAGGGTAGCAAAGTCGGTGGTTCATGCCTGTAATTTTAGCACTCTGTAAAGCTGTTGCAGGAGGGTAAATTTAAGCCCAGTTTGAACAATTTAGCCCATCTCAAAAATTTGAAAAGGGTTGGGAGGGGCAGATAGCCCAGCAGTCTGATCGCCTGCCTGGCAAAGCGCAAGGACCCAGTTTGATCTGCATGCTGTGCCACCCCGGAACCCCAGGCGCACTTTGCAGGCCACCAAAACCAGGTGTGGTGGTGCATGCCTGTAATCCAGCACTGGGGAGGCTGAGGCAGTAAGATCATTAAGAGGGGCCAGGGAGATAGCTCAGTAGAATAAGTGCTTGCCTGGCAAGTTCAAGGTCTTGAGTTCAATCCCCGGTTCAAAAAAAAAA